AAAATTGCTCCACAGTTATGTCAGTCAAGCCTATTATGTCCAGACGCATGATCTTCAATTCATCCTTGATTCCATTAATGTCAGTTTGATAAACATCCAGTGTGGGTAAGATTTTGTTCAAATTCTCAGTGTATTCTCCTTTGGTTATTTCAGGGGATTCAGTATCCTCTGCAATGTGGTTAATGTCATAGTAACTAGGAGGGGTCTCAGGATCACTCTCATCAGACATCTTATCATCAGTAATTTGGTACAATTGCGGTGTTTTAGGTGTTGAAGGATGGTCAGGAGGGTTTAGCTCATGAATCCAGTTATCGCGATTGTGGACACTCATTTTAGCATGGTTTGGAAGGGTAAATAAAGTGACAACTTCATTCCTTATCAGGTATTCAAAAGGTGCAGGACCTAGATTTCCTATTATGCGTAGGTCGAAACAGAAATCAATATTCATAGGGCGAATCGAACCGAAGTGTGTACACTTATGTAGTTGGTATCTAAGTCCGAGGGCATTGGCAATCATGGTGACTAGGCCTCCTACGATGATCAGTTCATTAGGGTCCTGAACAATGCGAGAAAAGGTTTGCATCATGAATGGCACAACATTAAGAGGTCGGCCTTGGGTCATACATTGCAGTAAAAACATCTCATCCTTAGACACTGCCATACAGTTTTGTTCTTTTGCATTTGTCTGCTACTGCGAGCCAATGGCGACCTCTGTGGGACTGATGGCAACCTCCATCCAATCCTAAAGCTGGCAGACTTTTTATAAAACTTGTAAAATTCGTAACTTTTGACTTGGGTGTCTGTTTGATGCACAATTTGAACCAACGAAAAGCTAAAATTATTTTCTATCCTATAATAATAATAATGCACACACTAGGTAAATACTTATTGTAGGCTTATGTCGTTTGTGTGCATTTCGTGTGGTATGCGATAGTGAATGTTGTGTTTAAATATGAAGATGTTGTATGAAGTGGTATGACTATTTTGCATAGTATATGCGTAATGATAACAATGATGATGTGGTTGGCCTGCATGGCGTAATTTTGAGGGCTTATGCTCTGTATTAACATAATTATATTGTTGCATGTCGGTGTTGCATGCATTCATTGGTGATGGCTTATGCTTTATTGCTGGCATGTATTGGCGTTATGGTGAGGGCTTATGCCTTGTTGTTGCCCTATAAAGAATTATGGAGAGGGCTTATGCCCTGTTGGTACCACATGTATCGAGTCGGTGTCGATCTCATTGCATAGAATTATTAATTTTAAGTTGATGTTGTATATAGGATATTGCCGAATGATTATGGTAAAATGATGTGGAGTTGAGAGATGAATGATGTATGACTATGCGTAATAAATTACTATCTACTTATTATTATACATTCTTTTATATAGTTATGATATCTCACCTCTTTTGTTTGAATGTTACCTCTATGTAGGTAACATGCAGGTGATCTGTAGTAGACGAAGTTACTCGTCATTTATTTTGAGTCGGCTGTGCTCTGATACGTAACACTAGGGGGGATGAACGCTACTTTCATTTTGTTTATTTTAATTTGTTGTCAGAGTCTTAAGAACTATTGATGTTTTAGAAAACATGGATTGTTGTTGTTGTTAAATAATTCATTTATTTTTTTAAATTATGATTTCATTCTACTACTTAATAAAATTTGAAGTTGAACAATATATTGTGTTGTTTCGATTCATCTATGATGGTGTTATGTATCGTTTATATTTTCCGGGAAGCCGTGTATGTTTTTGTTAGATGTGGCATCCTAATTATGTTTTGATAATTTGATTTACTCTTATTTAATTTATAATTATATGGGGTTAAATTAGGGCGTTACATCCACTCTGTTGGATGAAATCGTATTCCAATGTTCCCCTGGTATATTTAAGTTGGTTTCTACCATTTCTGCACCTTCCTGAATAATTTCTTCTTCAACTGTTTCCATGCCCTTCTTTCCTTGATATTTTTCCCCAATAACCTTCTCATTAGGTTTCCATATCTTCACTTGAGACTTTTCCTGAACCATAAATTTCTTCATTGAGCAATCATGCCCAATTCTCAAACATGTTTGGCAAAACTTCAGTCTCCATTCATACTCTATCTGATGTTCCACCTTTTTCCCATTGTGATCTGTAATACAAAATTTGTCTTTAATATTTTGTGTAACATCCACTTCTACAAGGACTCGGGCATAGAAAATGCATAATTTCTTGGTTGTACATTCATCACTGGTAATTTCTTTTCCTATAACACTCACAATCTTGGATATATTATTCTCTCCCCAAAGGTGCAACAGGAGGTTTGGCAACGTTATCCACAATGGTAATACACGAAGCAGATCTTCCTTAATCTCAAAATTAGTTGTCCATTGTTTAAGGAAGATAGGCTTACCATAGATGAAATAGGATCCCCGAGCCATTACTTTCTCTTGATCCTCATGATTCTTGAACCTCGCTATGAAATATTCAACATCATTATAGTACAGTTACGATAGGGATACAAAATTCCAAGATTTCTCCATGAATTTCTTCACGGCATTCATCGAGAGAGATTCACCTAAAACAAATATAATCACTGCATTTTCCGAGAACTTTAATTCCTCAACAATATCATTTCCTCAATAACAATCTTCACTTCTCCATTGATCAACGACGGAGCTACATATTTCACTGTCATTCCTCTATTTAAGTTTTTGTTCCCTTGAATGATCTCCACCCAAGATTTCACAACAACCTTATTTTTCATCGGTGCTTAAATCTTGATCTCTAGGATTTGGGTTTCCTCAACACCAGGCTCTTCTTTGAGATTCTCATGCTCATCTGTTGGCTCAACTGTCATGGTCGATTCCTTAGTTCTTCCACTGTTCTCTGGTGCGCCACCGTCTTGATTTATAGTCGGCTGACACGCCATTTTGCTTTGATCATCGAAACCCTAACAGAACAGTTATAAAGTTTCAACAATTAAAATATCTGAATAAACATATAATTAACATATTAATTAAGAAATATTTTAATTAACTATTTCAAATATTAGAAACTAATATAACGGAAATCTTTAAAAAAAAAACTTAATTTGTCTATTCTTGCCACGGTACTAAGTTAAGAATTAATTTAATTTATTTTATGACTAATTTATTCAAAATAGTTAGAATAATATACACACTTATATAGTTAAAATAATAATTAAAAAAATCTATTAATAATTAGTAAACAATTATAAGAGAAATGAAATAGTAGGGTCATCGAAGAGACTAGATCATTTTGTAGGCAACTCGAAGGATCATCGAGGGATTATGATTTTTATTCGAAAAGGATCATGATGATATTGTTTAACCGAGGGTCTTTGCTAAAGTATCCTTACATGTTGTCTTCTATGACCATACGACGACCCTACGTTTGTCCCTTTATATCCAATAGATAAGGTTACCTACCAACTAATGGTACGAATAGTAATATCTCTAACAGAGAAGAAAAATAAAAAGAATGGCCTTTAGTGGGTAAGACTCAACAAATTGCTTGCTCACAATCTTTTTCAAAACAAACAAAACATTTTACATATCACATTTCAAACAAATATTTTCAAACAAACACTTTGTACGCATTCTTGAGGACTGATACATGAATCATTACAAAGTCTGCCTCACAATTGACATTCAAAATATTTTCAAACAATCACACACACACAAAGAAATTTTTTTTAAAGTGAGTTAAGCAATTAAAAGCCCGTAGATAACTACAGATGAAAAGGGTGCTAACACCTTCTCTTTTCATAACTTACCCCCAAACTCAAAATTTATCAAGGTCTTTCCTGTTCTTTTCACCTTTTCCTTATATTCAATAAAAGAAAAGTCGGGTGGCGACTCTAGCTATCCGCACATTTGGATAAAACTAAAAAAATCAATTCCCCTACCGTATTACAGAACTGACGACTCTGCTGGGGAATAATTTTGCTGGAGATTCCTGCTTTCTGTTTGAGGATACTCCGCTGGGGATCTTCGACTTTTACTTGAGGATAGAGACATTCAAGGAGAGTCGGTCGTTCACCGTTATTTTTGTCGGAGGGTTTGATTCTTACGTACCCTGACTGGAGATAAAAGTGATAGAATTTGTCTGGTGTGCTATCTATTTAGGTTTCAGATGCCATAGCAACTCTTCTGGAGATAGCAACTTTGATTAAGCCCTACTGGAGAAGAGAATTTTATTAGAAATTTACGGCGTTGGAGTAATGAACTCCACTGAGAAATTAAATTCCTGTAAGTTGTGTCGAGAAAAATAACTCTAATGAAGATTGAAATTTCATTATATATATATATATATATATATATATATATATATATATATATATATATATATATATATATATATATATATATATATATATATATATATATATATATATATATATATATATATATATATATATATATATATATATATATATATATATATATATATATATATATATTAACAATAAAAATATTAATAGATATAGTAGATGACACTTATCATTTATAAATGGTTTTACATCATAATAGGTAATCTATCCCGTTTTTGTTAGGGTAACTTAAAAAAAAAAACCTAATTATATTAGATTGAAAAAATACATAATTAATAAAAGAAATAATAATAGTTAATAGTATAATAGAAAAATAAATGTTTTGTGAAAATAACAGTTAAGAGAGGACACAAATATTTTGCTCAAATGGAGTATATATTGGAGTGGGAGTAGTAACAAAACCTTCCTTATTTTTAAATTTAAGATGTAAATTTAACATTACAAAAACATTCTTCCTTATTTTTAAATTTAAGATGTAAATTTAACATTACAAAAACATAAATGTGAAAATTATGACAGTAACTACAATACAACTAGTAACAAAAAAATTATTAGACAATAAATACAAAACAACTAAAAACAAAATAATAATAATAATGGTAAAGATAATAATAATAATGATAATAATGTATGATGTATCTATGACTATGAGAAAATTAATTGATCTTATCTTCTTTTGCAATAGAACTTTTACAGTGAGCAATTGCAGCTTGAATTGCAGCATGTAACTCTTCCATGGTACTATCATTTGTAGAAGATGAAGAAGAAAGAGAAGCACCACCTTTTGCTAGCAATAGTCCACTATTTGTTGGTGAAGTTCTCATGGAAGCTGGTGCTGAATATTCTCCTCTACTTCCTCTAACTTGTGGCTTATTCTTCCTCATTAAATTCCCTGAACGTGAATAAGCTTCGCCTTGGAATCGATTCTTTTCTCTTTTTCTGAAAAAGTATTTCTTCAATGCTTGAATCATGTCATAACCAATAACTTTCTTCTTATTATTACTATTCTGTTGAGGCTTCTCTTTATTATTTTCTCCTTTGTGGTTTCCTTTTGTTAATCCAAACAAAGAGAAGCTATTGGATTTTGTGTTGGTGGAACTGGATTTGATCTCTTGTTTTGTGATTCCTCTGATGATGTTGTTTGTGCTGTGAAACTCTCTGTTGCTGGTGTTGCAGCTTCCGGTGTCTTTTCGAAACTTTTCATTTTCTGTTATAGGGAGAGTGAAACTGTCGTTTGAGTTGGTGGAAAAGCGAGGTGAGGAAGGGAAATGAGAGAGGAGATGAAGTGGAAGTAAATGGCCGTGGAAGAAAAT